ACTGCAACAACCAAAGTATACTGCAGTAATCTTTCAAAGACATATTAAGCTGAGCAGATGGTACCTAGAGCCTAATGACGCAGCATAAAATTGATCACAATAAGGCTACGTTACGTTCATATTGGGCTATAATGTGTAGCTGTAGATTGCTGCGGCAAGCAAATATGGCAGGGCCAGATTTACTCTCTATGCTGCCCCAAGGCCAGGTTCCTCAATGCGCTCCCCTCCAATCCAAACCCCCCTCCATACCACCATTCTCATCATTTACCAATGACTGTTAGAATAGATAAATTAAAAACATATTTCCATACACAAAATCAGTGAAAATATCTGGTTTTAATTGTGCAAACTTAAAATGCTCTGTACTGCTGAACTTTGCATGAATGTTTGGAAAGCAAACATTTTATAAAACAAACATACACGTTCATATACTGTAGGAGGCGGGATAAGTGCAGGAGGAACCGTGATACCGTGTTTGCCCTGGGCAGAACTTTCAGGTGAGCCCGGCTGCACTGCATCCAGCAGCCTCAGCTGCAAGTGCAAAACCCCGCAGAGCCCACCCCAGATACTGCACAGCCCACCAGAGTCCCTGCAGAGCCCACCATAGACCCCCGGAGCCCACCACAGATCCTGCACAGCCCACCTGAGACCCTGCAGTGCCCACCTGAGACCCCAGCTTTCCTGCTACACTAATAGCATAACATGTCAAAAGCTGGGTACAGCGTGCGCACTGTATCCAGTGAATGACAGGTTGCGCAAAAAGTCTTAAGCAGGATGGGGAAGGGGAAATTTAGTGGGGGGGGGGGGGAACACTGGCTGTGAGCAGTTCTGGATGCACCTCATCCTAGACTAGCATCACGTACTTCCATGGTGCTGGTGCCTGGCTTGCCTGCATCATTGGAATGCATGACACTGAAAATTTGAATAGATAAAAACAAATGATAAAGCGCACTCCTGTGAGAAGGACACACTTCAGGAATGAGGATAATGTGGAATGGTGTGCACTGCTCCTCAATACAGGGAGAGGAACCCTGTAGATCACAAACACAATATAAAACAAAAAGGCTGAGGAGCGCAACTACCTAGGTGCGTGCTACTAAACTTGGTAGGCTAACAATAAACACTCATATAGGTGGTGATTTACTTTCCAGTTGGAGTGTCAGCAGGTATGTGTGAAGTGGATTGGCATCCAGGGTCTTTCTTCATTGGAATAGAAAGACCCTGGATGCCTGACACTCCAACTGGAAAGTACCGTATTTTTCGCTCCATAAGACGCACTTTTTTCCCCCCAAAAGGAGGGGGAAAATGTGCCTGCTTTTATGGAGCGAATCCCGACGCACGAGACATGCAGTTTCGGGCGCCGGGCGAGTAGTAGGAGCCACTGCTCGTTTAATACGAGTGATCTAATGAGATCACTCGTATTAAAGCCGAGCAGCGGCGGCGGCGATCGTATTCAGCAGTAGGAGCCACTGCTCGTTTAATACGAGTGATCTAATGAGATCACTCGTATTAAAAACGAGCAGCGGCGACGATGGATATCACCATAGAGCAGACGAAGAACGGACTTTCTACGTCTGCTCTGTGTGATCACTGAGACCGTGGCGTTGTAATCACAGCGCCACCTGTCTCAGCGGTCACTAACTGCAGCTTCTGTCACAGCTTCTGTCATAGAAGCTGTGTCAGAAGCTACAGTCTGTCGAGTGCTCCATAAGGCGCGCCGGACCTCCCTGCGTGCTATGGTCCGGTGCGTCTTATGGACCGCAAAATACGTTAAGTCACCACTTATATGAGTGTTTATTGTTAGCCTACCAAGTTTAGTAGCATGCACCTAGGAGTTGCACTCATCAGCCTTTTTGTTTTATACTGAAAATTTGAAGGCACCCCTGACAAAGCAGTAGGATACCCCTGACAAAGCCAGAAGGCACCCCAGTGTGCCGTAGCACACTGGTTGAGAAATGCTGCCCTTAGGGCACCTTTTCAGAACAGAAAGCACAAAAGCAGTACTTTTTAGATGTTCAATGCACGCAGCATCCTAGAACCTCATCATGCTCATTTTACTGAACATCGTTCTACAATTTGGTAGATTTTGGTTCAGGGATCACGCATGCTTGGTGAACCCGCAATGCCAGCATATCACTGCTCCTGTTCATTGACTTTAGAAATAAGACCCAATTAGTAAACATCCACATTCCCTCTGTAATCATGGATTGATATTGCTATGCTTTAAAACTGTACCCACATATTATTTGAATATGTAAATATTACTAGATGAATTGATATACTGAATATCTTAAAAAACATTACATTTTCCTGCCTCTAAAAATGACTACAAATCATGTCTTGCCTACTGCTCTTTACAAATATTTATACAGAAGAGCCCCACAGAGGCATTTTAATTTATTCATTATACAGACATATGTTAATTTGCTATTATCCTCTCCGGCAAATTTAAAAATGCACAGGCTTTGAGGTTATTTGTGCAGTCATTTAAAAAAAAAAAACCATCAAATTGCTGTTTTTTTAAGTGCAAGTCCAGTCTAAACTTTGTATTTTTTACTTTTAGATTGAAACGGTAGCAGGGTTAGAACTTATGGCAGGTTTTTGTTACTGTTTGTGAAAAGCTTCCATTTTGCTTTACATTCCCTTAAAGGTGGCCATACACCTTACAACCATTGTACAACTTTTTTTGTCCAGACATCTCACCCTCGTTCAATTTTCTTACAACTAGCCCAACATGCACAGACCAATGTAGTTCACAATTAACGCTCTTCAGCACCACCACCTGGCTGATTTTCATCGATCGAAAGGTACAGATTTGAGCATGTGCAGTGTTCATCTTGAGATTTTTGTTGTACAACAATGCCACTAACCTATCAATTTTGGTCCAACTAGACAAAAGTTTTCTAGCCTACTTGAAAGACAAAAATTTGCCAATTGTACAGTAATTGAGGTTGTACACTCCCCATCAACTGGCAGATTTTCGCTATGACAAGTCTTTACTGTTAATATACAGGATGCAGAGGAACTTCACCACTCCACTTCAAGCTCCACCATCTGGACACGATGCGTGTGGCAGCTGAGAGCCATCCACATAAACACACTGACCCGAAGAAAGTACCGCACAGTGCTGCCGTCACCATAAAGATACTTTATTCAAAACCAGCAGCCAACGTGGTAGGGCAGCCACCCTCCCTGACGCATTTCACCCTGGCAGGCTTAGTTGTAGAAACTTTGGTGCCTTACTGTTTTTACTGCTGTCTGTATTTTCTTTGTAGAGAATTCCCATCACTGTCTGTCCCTCTGACACCAGGACATAAGGACATGAGATAGGGGCAAATGGGGACTTTTAACATGTATATATTGTTAAATTAATTTGACAAATAAAGTTAAAAAATGTGCCATGCCAACAGATGAAGTCCTGATTATGCCCTTTTTGCAATATAGCCACATAAAGATACATTTTGGTTTTGAGCCCCTTGACTCAATTAATCATTTCCAGCTTGTCACATTTTATTTTAAACAATTCAGCTGTTAACATGCATATTTAGTCAAAAGGATAAAACAGTACATATTAAAGTATATGTGGAAATAAAAATATATAATTAACAAGCCAATAAAAAACAATTACCGTGGTGAAGGGGAGCAAAGTTTTTTGATTTTACTTTTATTTGATATGACACATTCATATAACGACTGTGACAGTAATGCAGATAAACCTTATTGCATTATACCGTGGTATGCATCATTCCTTTGTCAGCTTGTCAATAAAAGCTAATGCTTCCTTTTCCCCTGTATTTGCCCCCAATTACAGCTTGTTAGGGGCATTTATAAAGTAGAAGTGCAGATTGTCTCAAATTGAAGGGGAGTAGTCTGAGCTAAGAATATTTCCTAGGTGCCCCTCAGCCCAGTCCAATAATTACGATTAGCCTTGGGTAGAATTACTGTTGCATATTGATACCCACATTATTGTTATGGAGGATTAGTCCTGCGTTTTACAAACATCAGAATACATCAGCATCGGTTTTTGTGGACAATAATGGACATTACTTTTGAATTCAAGCAAAAATAATTTAATCAAATATCCAATGGAGTTAATGTAAGAAAATACTGTAAACCCTGCCAGCAATGGTGTACTGTAGCTCAAGATGAATGGCTGAACTATAAATTGCTTGGTCATCCTGTGCAGACATGATTCATAAGGAAGGAGTCAATTTTAGGGGTCATTCCCAGCGAGAGGTTGGCAGGTGGATATAAATATACCTGGGCAAATAATTATATTTGTTTAAATTGCATATACCCAAGCAGGCATCAAATGGTTTAATGAGCCAATGAAATACAGCAGTAGTAGAGCTTTGTACCGTGTTAGCCACTGATTAATGCAGAAAGTTTGGAGTTTAAGTGATACCCTTTATTGGCTAACATAAGTTATTAAAGATGTAAAATTTTGAGATTTCTTAGATGCCTTCTCCAGGTTTGCATCTTTCACAGCACGTGTTAACCAATAAAGTGTATCACATAGGGATGTATTTATAACAATTAACAGAGCTATTTGCCCTGTGAATCACTGTGAAAGATTATTCTGTGCGAATAGAGGGACAAATTAATGTTCTTAGTATAGTATGTGGCTTTACATTATAATACATTCAACCACAAAAGAAAATACATTAAGATTGTTAATTTTTGCCTCTATTCACACAGAACAAATGTTTACAGAGATTCACAGGGGCGAATAACTTTGCACATTGTTTATAAATACACACTTAAACTTCAATCTTTTGGCAATTAAATACAGTAAATATTTAGCAAGGTGAAGCAGCTGAAACCACACAGGAACCCTGTTGTACAGTATCTTACAAGGAAAAAGTTACTGAAAAGAAAAGTGCTCAAAGTATAATTGTTAGACATATTTATCACAAAATCTATTAGTTTAGAATAGCTACATAGTTTTAGAAGACATTTGTTGCAAATGGAAATAGCCTTCCTTGACAAACATTTCCTACCAGTTTTGTCTCGCATAGTGACTTCTCAACAGTCAAGGTGCTGAATATGGTTGTCTGAAAGAAAACAGAAGCAAAATATAAATGTGCATACAATATGAAACATATCATGAGTGAAACTGCATTTTTACATACTGTTGTTTTATTGGGAATAAAGGAAATATAGAAATAATGAATAACAGAACTGAAACCAAAACTTTTTTGTTTTGGAAAGAGTTAGGGAGGGTTATAAAACCATCAGCATTTTTTTTGCCATCTGTGTCTCACTGGGATTTATCTTCACTTCCTGTCTGATAGTCACAATAGAAAGTGAGAGAAAATCTCCAAAGTAAGGAACATCCATGGTGGTCAGCAAGGTCAGCAGAACTAGTATCCCCATTGGAGGATTCCCCATCTATTCCTCTTTGGGAATTTCATTGATAATGGTCACCAGGATACGTAGTGTTCTATCTCCACTCTATGGAAAACTAAAAAAAAATTGGCTTCAGTTGCACTTAAACAGTTAGATCCTGTTTGGGAGCTGTGGCTTAAACTGAGTTCACACAATACACATTGGGGGTCCCTTAAAGTACAGGTATACCTTTAACAAATGACCTTTAGGACCATACAGTAAAGCCCCCCAACCCATCCCAAAAACAGCCATGGTCTCCTCTAATGTTAATAGCCACTCCAGTGCCCTCTCAAAAATTTGAACGACGAAGGAGAGGAGAAAAGGAAATGTTTGGCCTGGGAGGCAAACAGAACCAACTGGCCCATTTTGCGGGCTAAGGGAAGTGCACCAAACAAGTAAGCCATGGTGATTGGATGCCATGGTAACCAGTGGGAGCTGTCTTAGGAAATAAGGCTCCATAAGCAAGCATACATATATTATTCAAAAGGGTGCAATAATGGGAGCCCCCATATTTCCCACATTGTAGCTTTTTTTCAAGTGTGCAGCATGGTAAAGTGCATGCAATTAAATGTGCAATTATAAACAAGAAAAGCTCCATGATTTAAAATCTCCCTGCACAATATTGGATGTTTGTGTTTATTTCACCTCAATCCACACTTAAATAATCAGGCCTCACATGTCAAAATATTTTCTCATGTAGTTTAACAGCTTGGAGAAAGGGTGGGAGGAGGGTGTGGTATGCGCAGGGACGTGAAATAAGCAGGTTGTTGGAACTGAGAATAGATGTGTGTAATGTCTATCCCCTTCCATCCAAACTGCTTTAATTGTTTTTAACATTGATTACGCTGGTTTTAAGTACAAGTCAAGTTAATTAAGTTACACTTGTTTCCTCTTTCACATTTTATAGTCAATTATAATTTGCTGCACAATTTGTTAGTCTTGTCACTGATTTACATTTATTTATTACCTGTGAGAAGTAAGGTTGTCACCTTTTCTGGAAGATTTAAAAATTACGGTAATATAACATGACATTACAGAATCCTATTCTTTGTATGGCTTTGTGAATTGAGCCATTCATGTTACAATGGAGCCTGTTTCAGGCACCATCTTAGGAGAGACATGGGTGACCCTTCTTTTCTGGCCTTTTTGCCTTGATGATGGAGCCCACTGCAACCCTTATATGCAATAACTTGGCTATAAAGGGACTAAGAGTGGGCTCTTTGGGAGAGAAACTTTATATGCAGGCAATGTGCTACCTTATGTGCTACCTTAATGATACCCAATTGTCACTGATGTCTGCTTTACATATCTTTGATAGCTTTGGCTACTTCTTAGGCATTAGAAGTAACTTGTCCAAATAAACACCCTTCCCTTTAGACCATTAAACCCAACATCTGGCAGCTCCTTTTCCTCTACAGTGTGTGCATCAGTTTAAAAAACTAGTTATACACACCACCAGGGATGATGCTATGTTGATCTCAGCCTCAACCATATAATCCACCAACTCTTCACTAAGTGTGAGGTCTGGTCCTCTTTGCCCTTGCTGGAGGTGTATATAATGGATCTCAACAATGCTCATAATGCCTATGAAAACAACCTTATGGACATGAAAGACCACAACTAAATGGTCCCATCCTCCTAACTCCTGGCCAATCCTCACTCCTTTTTAAATCAATCCTACCTTACACTCATATGATCGCTAATCATTGTGTTTGGACCAGACCAAGTATCTCCTCACTTGGCCAACTTCTTCCAATGGACATTCTACTATATATTTTTGACTCCCTGATTCCCCATCCACCATCCATTCTTTGTACTTGGGAACTTCTCACCCCCCGTCCCCC